GGAAGAGTCACGGTTTGCACTCTCGAAGGGAATTGGTTCTTTTTTATGGGAGATCGGAGTGATTCCCACACTTCATCATTTTATGGAATTCATGAAAGAGGTTGTGGTGATTACTTCTTGGCTAGTCTTTTAGCTGAAGATGATGTTATTGTGGAAAGGGGTTATCCGGTAGTTATTCATGATGGATGTTTTTCTAGAGGACTTGATAAAGTTGTCTTTATATCGAGAGGTAGAGTTTACTATTGATTTGATGCCCGGTACCGTGCCGATTTCTATGGCACTGTATTATATGGCACCTATGGAGTTGGAAGAATTGAAGAGACAACTTAATGATTTAAAGATGAAAGGTTTCATCCGACCGAGTGTGTCACCGTGGGGAGCACCGGTCTTGTCTGCTAAGAAGAAAGATGGTTTTATGAGGTTATGCATTGACTACCGGAAGTTGAATCATGACACCATAAAAAACAAGTATCTTTTGCCAAGGATAGATGATTTATTTGATCAGTTGAGGGGAGCCAGTTATTTTTCGAAGATTGACTTGAGGTTAGGCTACTATCAGTTACGGGTTAGGGATGAGGATATCCTAAAGACGGCATTCCGTACTCGGTATGGACATTATGAGTTCCTTATTATGCCCTTTGGCTTGACTAATGCGTCAGCGGCATTCATGGACTTGATGAACTGCGTCTTCCACGATTACTTGGACCAGTTTGTGGTAGTTTTCATGGATGACATTCTTGTGTATTCACGATCTCAGGCAAAGCATGACATCCATTTGAGTATTATATTGCAGATTTTTTGGGAGCACCGATTATATGCCAAATATAAGAAGTGTGAGTTTTGGCTACAAGAGGTGAAGTTTTTGGGGTATGTTGTTTCGGAAGGTGGAGCATCGGTTGATCCATCAAAGATAGAGGCAGTTCTGAATTGAGAGCAACCCAAGAATGTGTTTGGGATCCGTAGTTTTCTTGGTTTAGCGGGTTACTACCGAAGATTTGTGAAGGATTTTTCTCTCTTGGCAACGCCTATGACTCGCTTGACCCGGAAGGGATCAAATTTATATAGAATTAAGCCTGTGAGTCATCCTTTCAAGAGTTGAAGACAAGGTTGAGTACGGCTCCAGTGTTGGTGATACCTGAGCGTGGCTTGGGTTATGTGATTTATTGTGATGTTTCACGCGACGGATTGGGTTGTGTACTTATGCAGGATGGTAGAGTAGTGGCTTTTGGGTCTCGACAGTTAACAACTCACGAGCTTAACTACCCTACTCATGACTTAGAGTTAGCGGTTGTTGTTTTTGCTTTGAAGTGTTGGAGACACTACTTGTATGGTGAGAGATTCGAGGTGTTCTCGGATCACAAAATTCTTAAGTATATTTTCTCCTAAAATAACTTGAACAACAGATAGAGGTAATGGGTTGAGTTTTTGGAAGACTACAATTTTGACTTGCAGTATCATCCGGGCAAGGCAAATGTAGTAGCTGACGCCTTAAGCCGGAAATCTCGTGGGACTTTGGCTAGTTTAGCTATTCGAAAGTGGAAGATGCTTGAAGACTTAGCAGAGATGGGATTGTTTGCTTTAATGATGATGTTGGCAGTGAATAAGTATTCTTGTTTAGTCTCGTGGCCCAGCCCACTCTTATCAGATGAGTCATTGAGTCACAGAGGTAGCATCAGGATTTGGATGCTATTCACACTTTGATTTCTGGTGGTGAGACAGTGAAGGATTGGACTTTGCATACAGATGATGGTCTACAGTTCAGGGGTTTATTAGTTGTTCCTATATTTTATCGTGAGATGTTCTACGGGAGTTTCACACTTCCCGCTTTGCAGTTCATCCAGGTGGTACCAAGATGTATCATAATTTGAGACGTCAGTATTGGGAGAGTGGGATAAAGAAGGATATTGCATAGTTTGTGGCTAGGTGCCTTACCTGTTAGCAGGTGAAGACCGAGCAGCAGAGACCAGCCGATTTATTGCAGCCATTGCCTGTAGCACAATGGAAATGGGAACAGATTACCATGGATTTTGTGACAGGTCTTCCTAGATTACAGAGGGGAGATGAAGCCCTATAGGTTATTATTGATAGATTGACCAAGACGGCTCACTTTTTGCCTATTAAGGCAACAGATAACGTAGATGCACTTGGTGTTCTTTATGTAAAAGAGATTGTGAGGTTCTACAGAGTTCTAGTGGTTATTGTTTCAGATAGGGATGCCAAGTTCACTTTGAGGTTCTAGGAAGGACTTCAGGCAGCGTTTGGTTCATCGTTGCACCTTAGTACGACATTCCATCCACAGACGGATTGCCAGTTGAAGCGTACCATCCAGATCTTAAAGGATATGCTTCGGGTATGTGTACTTAATTTGGGAGGTAGTTAGAAGGATCATTTTCCACTTATTAAGTTTGCTTACAATAACAGTTATTAGGCAAGTATTCAGATGGCTCCATTTGAGGCGTTGTATGGTAGACCTTGTAGGTCTCTTATTTGTTGGACTAAGGTAGGTAAGATAGCCATCTTAGGACCTGACATTGTACTTGAGACTACTGAGAAGATTAAGCTGATGAAACAGAGATTGCTCACAGCTCAGAGCCGACAGAAAAGTTATGCGGATAGGCGGAGACGACTGCTATCCTTTGAGGTGGGAGACCACGTCTTTCTTCGAGTTTCTCCACGAAAGGGGTTGTTGAGGTTCGGGAAGAGTGGCAAGTTATCGCCACGATTCATTGGACCTTTTGAGATTTTGGACCGGGTAGGAGAGGTTGCCTACAGACTTGCTTTGCCACCACAATTGGACAGGGTCTACAATGTTTTTCATGTGTTGATGCTACGGAAGTACGAGCTGGATCCATCTCACATTTTGAGTTGGGTTGATGTGGACATAGATGAGGATGTTTCCTATGAGGAGGGACCAGTTTAGATTCTTAACACACAGCAGAAGGTGTTAAGGAACAAAGACGATACCATTGGTGAAAGTTCTCTGAAGGCATCATGGAGTTAAGGAGGCTACATGAGAGCCTGAACAGGAGGTTCGCTCCAAGTATCCAGAGTTGTTTTCTCCCTCAGGTATGGCTTGATTCCGGGGATGAAATCTTTTAAGTTGGGAGAATGTAATGTTATAATTTGTTCACACACACACACACACACACATATATATAAGTTAATGGTGGGATATTCTTTTGTGGTGGGACCCACCACCACTTACTTTTTAATTTAGTGGCCAAGAGGCCATTTGGCCTCATTATTCTTTCTCTCCCCGGCAAAAGCTTTCTTTTCTGCACTTTTCTTATTTTTCTTTTTCTTTCTTCATGAATTTCACTATTTGATTACTCTTCAACCACATGGAATTTTTGGGTGCCGTTTGCGGCAAATCGAAGAGTTCGGCGAGATCTACGTGTGAATATAAGCAATTCATCATTTGGTGTACTCTAAGGATTTCGAAATTTTGAACCCATTTGGAGGTTTTTACATCTAAGTGAAGTAGGGGTTCGAATTCATATGTTCTTAGGCTTTTTTTTTGAATTACTTTTCTTAATTGGTGATTAGCATGCTTGATTTGTACAAATTTCGTGCTTTATTATATATATATATATATATATATATATATATATATATATATATATATATATATTGTGCCAAAGTTATGACTATGTGTTGCTTGATATATATGATGATGAATCATGTCAATTGTTGATTAATTCAAGCCCTTTGTGCCTTTAGTGCTAGTTTGGTGATTAGAAAGCATGAAATATAATTTTAGAAATTTTTATGTTGTAAAGCATGTCTAAGTATTAAATTTCCATGCCTATTATGATTAATTTGCTAGAATTTGCAATATGGAAGTGCGTTGATTTGTGAAATATGAAAATTTTATGTTGATTTGTGAATTGTAAAAATCCTTTATTTGACATGGCATCGAAAAACATGAGACATTCATGCATATCATTGGGCATGGAATGGGAAAAATTGATTTGAAAGAAATGAAATGGATATTTGGAAAGAGGTTTTGAAAAGGATTTTTTTTTATTTTTTATTTTTGCGAAAATCCAGTTGCCTAGGGGTTACCTAAGGGCCGTGGTGTTAGCGAGGTCTATAGGGGACTAAGGAGATTTTCTTAGCGTGGTTGAGTTACCTGGCCCCAAATGACGCCACGGGATTACCATGGGTCAGAGACAGTAGCCAATCCTCCTCTCGTGCCGCTATGGGGTCACCATGGGATGAGTTTCACTAACTGTTTGAAAATGATGATGGAAATGGTTTTATAAAATGGGGAGTGACATTGCATTACATTGCACCCATTGTACGGCATATCCATCCATGACTTGGTTTATAAATGTGATATTGTGGTTATTTTTCTCTTTGCATAGTATGATCCCGTTTTCTATATTTCTATTCATTGTTTAGATTCACGGGGTCACAAGAGGTGTGTCTTAGGCACCACCTACTGAGCTTTATGTTCACCTTATTAGTTAACATTTTTTTCAGAACACGGAACAGAAGTGGTGGATGACGTTCCACCACAGGCCTAATATGGATTAGAAAATCATTTTGTTATTTTTGTATCTAAGTCTCACTATTTCTTTTTTTTTTTTTTTTTTTTTTTTTTTTTTTTTTTGTGTAAAACTTAGCATATTGTATTCTGTACTGAAACTTATGAACTCTTGTTATTGTAATTATATGCATGAGCTGTAGCTTTAGTATAAGTTGTCTAAACATTGTAGGACATAGGCTTTTGATCTTAATTATATTTTCGGGACTGTAATTATGAAACTTGGATTAAATGGCATTTAATTGTTCCACCATGAGCTGAACTATGTTGAAGCATAATGAATAGATGAAAGGAATGTCGAAATGTATTATTTGCATTGTGTGCTAAGATAGGTTTGATAAATTTTGAAGGTCCAAGAGAGGCTATTACATTTTTATGCATTTAAGCAGGTTGTTGTAGGACCCCTTTTTAGCAGAGGTCATGCCGAATTTTTATTTTATTTTATAATTAGTATCATTTTAGGGTCCTTGCACACCAATAGAGTTTTAATTCGAATTCAACACCATAATTAAGATGTTTCTTCTAATAACATTACATTAAATATTTCAAGCCATGTAAACTTATACAAGATAGAAAAAGGAGAAAAAAGAAAAGAAAAAAAGAAATAGCACTTATTCAAGATCACCTAGATTGTGATAAGATTACGGTACTTATTGATGAGTAAATAACATTGCGTATTGAGCATAAATATTTAGACAGTACTAGTAAGAAACATCAACAATTGTGCTCTTAATTTCATTCTAAAATTACTGCTAACTCTCTATTGAGAGCTGTTGCAGGCTTGACTTGCAGAAGCAAAAGGATTTGGTGGGATGGTTAGGTTGTTTCCTTCTTTTTCCAGCATTTGAATCACAGCTTTCATGGAAGGCCGATCCACAGGGTACCACTGAATGCACCATAGCCCAACAATAGCTAGTTTTTGTGCTATTTTTGCATGTTCCTCAATCTCAATGCTGATCATACCAAGTTCTTCTCCGTGATATAAACGATTATAAATCCATTCTGGGAAGTACGTTTGGCTAGTGTTCTCCACTTTAACATCAATATTTTTCCTCCCACCAACCATTTCAAGCAACAACATTCCAAAGCTATATACATCTGATTTATACGACACATACCCTAAATTCCTAGAAAAGGCTTCAGGGGCAACATAACCCATGGTCCCTCTTGCAGCAGTCATAGAGACAACACTTTGTTCCTTAGAACACAACTTTGCGAGGCCAAAATCAGAGACCTTTGGATTGAAATTGTGGTCCAACAATATATTATGAGGTTTAATATCAAAATGAAGGATTCTTTGATCACACCCTTGATGAAGATATTCAATTCCTTTCGCTATGCGCAGAGCAATATCTTGCAGCTTCTCCCAACTGAGGAAATGGTTCTTGTGACCTTCTGAAAAGATGAACTTTTCTAGAGAATCATTTGGCAAAAACTCGTAAACAAGAGCTTGTCTAGATCCATCAGCACAGAAGCCAACCAAATGAACCACATTCAAATGGTGGATCCTGCCCATTGTTCCTACTTCATTGATGAACTCTTCTCCATTTCCTATTGAATTGTTCAGGACCTTAACAGCTACAAAAATCTCATTGGAAAGTTTTCCTTTGAACACTGTCCCATAACCCCCTTCTCCCAGTTTTTCCTTGAATTGATTTGTGATCTTTTTGATATCAGCATAAGAGTATCTTGAGGGCTTGAGTGCTCTGTAGTCCTCCAAAATTTTTTCAATCTTTACTTCATCTTCTTTCAACATTTTGTTTGATCTATAAGCACGATAGAGCGTGAGGACTACCACAGCAAAAATTATGACAACCGAATTCACAATAGCTGCATTAAAACAAACCAAGTCAACCGAAGAAAAAATATTTTTTTCAAAAAGAACTTTTCTAGTCCACTGATAACAAACGAAAGGTGATCGATCGGCAACTTCACCTGTCACAACTTGTTTTATTGATGAACCTGTAAACCAAGATCAAAGTATTAATTACTTTTCCATGATTGTGATACAAGATAATCCGACTAGTAAGTATTTTGTCTCTATCAGCTTATTTCTCTTGCTTAGCTTAATTTCGATTCAACAGATTTTCATCTTTTTCTGTGTAAAATAGGATCAAATAATGTGTAACAGATTTTCAGCTTTTGAAAAGAAGTCCTTCCATATGTGATGACGTACCTTTTGCTGTTTTAGGCATGTTGAAACATTCAATTTCATGTCCCGTGGAATGATTCGTTAAACCACATAATTTGCCTTCTGATTCGCATTTGGAGCAATTTGGTTTCCACCAATACAATATAAGATAATCGCTCTCGAAATATATATTGCCAGGACTAATAAATGAAGTGTAGTTACGAATCTTTGTGCAGGAAGTCAGGTAGTGACTTGTAAGCAGAAGTGAGTAATCATTGACAGCATAAATTTGATATCCCGGAACAGTACTAAGGCAAGGGATGAAGTAATGTAAATGTTCATCTGGTGAAGAACAATTGTACAAAGCGTAGGAAGCCATGAACCTAGAAGGATCAATCTTCTTGACCAGTAAATGTGGATAAAACTGAAAAGTAGAGGCAGTAGATAAATTGAGGTTTACAAGCTGTCCTTGAAGGCAGCCTTCCCCGTCAAACAGGTGAATCGATTGAGACTTGTAATCAATCTTCTTGGCCAGCAAATTTACCGAATTTGGTAACTGGAGCACCGTTTGATTTCTCTCATTGCACATTAGCTCAAACCCCGGATAGCCACAGTGTCCCGGCTGGTTGTCGTCTTTAAGCCGGAAGGGGAAACGGATGGCCGGACCATGCTTCTTGCACCAGGAAACCTTGCATTCATCACGGCCTTCTAGCCTTGCAAACAATATCAGAAACAAGTACTGCAAGGGAAATTTGGCCATTTCATTCGAAGTAACCACCTACTCTAGCTCCACAGCCTCTCTCTCTCTCTCTCTCTCCAAATAACATTTGATGGGTATATTATGGTATCTTGGACTTGTCAGCCAGAAATCGAGGTGTTCCAATGATATATATCAAATATATATATATATATATATATATATGAATGAAAACAATTACTTTGTTAATAATTCTCAACAATGGTCTGTGTCATCTTCTCAATCTCATTTGCTCTCCACATTTAATTTTTTAGATGATGGCCATGATAAGCGCGGATATGAATATGAGTGCAAATACGACATGATACGAATAGGGCCATATAACAAATGTCAACGAAAATTAAATATATGTCGGATTGGACAAAAATTAAATGTAGTTATATGTATATAACTACATTTTTAATATATATATATATATATATTAAGTTTCTTGTAATATTATGAATTTAAATGCAATACACTACAAGAAATGTGGGCTTTTACGACATAGTATTTACGGGGCCTCTTTATTTTGCCTCGTGATTACCATCATTTACGGAGTTTTTAAAAGAATCCTCGTAATTGTTACGTTATAGGACATGCTTCCACGAGGATTTAGTAAAATCGTCGTAGAAAAATGTTTTTACGGTGTATTAAAGAGGTCGTGAATATTTAGATATATCTATGGCATATTTGTACACTTTTAACAGTATAAATGTTCCTCGTTGAAAACTTTCACATTTAAGGCATTTTTTTTTCCCCGTAAATAAGCAATAACACTTGCCCACCAAATTGAATAGGCACAGTTAATAAAATTACTTAAAAAATATATTTAAAAAAATGAATTTAAGTCTTTTACGGTGTATTAAAGAGCCCATGAATAAATTTCACACTTAAGGCGCCTTTTTTGCGCCTTAAATAAGTTCCACCAAAATAGCCGGCCAAACAAGGAAAAAGCCCACCAAAATACTTTCCCACCGAAAAAATTTCACTCCCCCGCCAAAGTGCCAAAGTAAATAGGCGGACAAAAAAAGAAAAAAAGAAAAAACCCATTTCAGAGTTTTTCTTCCCCAAAGAAGCTTCAACGAGAGTGTGGAAAGAGAGAGACCCGAATCTCTCATCTATCGATTTCTTTGGACGAACCGTGTTGGTGGCAGTAACTTGAGGAAAGAAAGCTTGATTTCCTAAACTCATCTTTCTCAGATTGGACTCCGGACGGTGTCGATCATTCCGTCAGCGACCAGCGAAGAGGTTAGGGTTTTCAACCAGTGACGAAAAATTGAAGTTGAATCGAGCCACCATGGACGATGGTACGTACCTTGTTATAGTTGCCTCTCATCCTTTCCATTATCAGTCTAATCTTTTTCACAAAATTTTCTCTATATCTATATATTTTTATGCACATATGTTTGTATATATGTGTGTGTGTCTGTGAACTGATTCTTGATTTGATCTATTTGAGCGAGATATTTGTTTATACCACCTAGAGAAGAAAATGTTTATTCCCACCAAAACCCCCCCTTACTCACATGGGAAACCTTGAAAAAAAAAAAACAAAAACCAATTCCCCCTAATTTTTCTTCAGTCCTTTCGCAAAGAGAAGCCCTAGAACATGATACGCCGATCGCCACAGTCCTTGATTCCACTGACCACAACCTTCGTTCGCCTTGATTTGCATACTTGTCGTATTTCTACCCTCATTCAAGACTTTCAAGCGCTGCCTCATTCTAGTTCTCTCTCGAGTACTCTTCTTTTCTTTTATCTCTCTCAAAATACTGCAGTTTTAGTTTGGCCGGAGAATCGAAGAGATCTGGGGCATATTTCAGAATGCTATCTTTCTCTTGGTGGGATTTCGCGATCGCCTTTCTAGCACCCCTATCCATACTACAACAACGTTCACAGCCGCCACCAGGTCAAAACCTAAATTTCCATTATTTTTTTATATTTGTATACAATTTGTTGAATTTCCTGTCCTATGAGATGATTTCAATTTAACTGATAATGGAATAAATTTTCCCATAACATTGATTGTATTGTGTATTTATGAAGAAATTTTTTTTTTGCCTACATTTATATAATTTTATGGAATAGATATGCTTGTTTTTTGGAGTTTGATTGTTCGGAGTTGGGTTGGGGATGTGATGACCTGGAAAAACAATTATTTCATCTTATTTAATTTTCATGTTTCATTTCTTTGTTTCTTATGATGGTATGTAGGTAGATGCCAAAGGTTTTCACATTAATTACATTTTTGGTACTCTGTTTGGGAGTTTTTCTTTCATTTCTCAGTCTTTTCTTCTTAATATTAGAATCATATCAATAAATGAAATTTCTGTATAACATAAATTCAAAAAAAAAAAAAAAAAAAAAAAGAAGACAGAAAAATTTAATCAAAGATCTAATGATATCATTAAAAATATATTTTGCTATCCTTTTTGTTCTTGTTCTTCCCTTTATTGAAATTAAGTGTTGTCCCATTTCAAAATTTCTGATTTTCATTATTATTTTCTGAGTTTGCAAGCAGTTTTGGATCTACTCCTAAAATCCTCAATTCCAATTGGTTGCTAAAGATATTCATTGTCTATTACTTAGTAAAACTTAAAAATTAAAAGATATTCTTTGTGTATTCAACTTAGATGGACACATATTATATCTAATAGCCTTCTCTAATGTGTTATGTATTGTCAAAAGTATCAAATAGAACTATAGAAGATTGAGAGTATCCAACTAGGTAGAAAATAGGTACCAACATTCAAAAAGAAGAAGAAGAAGAAGAAGAAGAAGAAGAAGGGTTTCAAACCCTACTGGCATGGGCAAAATTAAAACAAACATTCATCAAAGTCCCTAATGTATGTGAGTTGTGATAATTGAAATGCTCTCTTTACCTTCCCAGAGACTTGATATTACAAGTACTGCATGAATATTATACAACATATAAGAATTTCTCTCTCTAAAACATATTCAGCAATGCAGTTCATTAGCAGTCAGAAATTCTGATTAGGACTTGCTATTTTATTTCCAACATATCCCTAAATTTATTATGGATAATGACCATAAAGATTCAGGACCAACACTGGACCATATAGACATATAAACATGGAAAGAAGCTTAACAGTGAGCGGTGCGAAAACAATCCATGTTGTGGAGGTTCATGAATTTTCCCATCTGCTCTAAAAACTTAGAGATTTTAAAAATATATGCATATACAATAAATAACACATTTTAGGTTCCACCTGCATACATTGCATTTACTACCACCTGCTCTGATCTCCCACCTGCATACATTGTATTTACTACCCAATTCTCAATTATTTAGAAGTTTAACACTTAATATCCAACTCAACTGATCTTGAAGATCAACATTTTGTGGTAGATTTTGAATTTCATGAGTTAGTTTCATTTGTATTCTTGAAAGTGAGAGAAGAATGATAGATGTTGTCCATATTTCCATATTGATTGTATTTATGGGCATTTCTTTTTTTAAAAATTCCTGCCTGCTAAGTTTGAATATTTAGCTAAGAATGAAACTTATTTGAGTAATTAATATTAGTTTTGGTGGTGGTATGGGTTGCTACTTTTCATATAGTTGGTTGATTCGTACTTGTTTGAGGAACTAAGATTTTAATGAGATAGAGAGCTTTTCTTGGCTATTATGTTAAGCCTTGCTGGGGATTTTATTTTATTAATTAGATTAAAGAGATTTAATATTTATGCATGTCTAAATATTGCTTTGTTTGAGTGTATATATTTACATTTGGAATAATATTTTTTATAAATTACATAGGTGCCAGGCTGACTTCACACATGTAGGTGCTTTAACTAAGTTTTGGTGGTTCATGGATGCTGTTTTCAACAATGGTGTATAGATTATAGTTAATACATTAGTTAAATGAACATTGGTGTACTAGACAAGTCTTTTTACATACTGAATGGTTATTTATGGTGCACATGAGTTTTGCCCTTTAAATATTTGTTTAATTTTCTGTTTTGGTTTTGGTTAATGAAGTTTGTTATTTGTTCTTAGATGTGACTAATTTTTTTGAGGTATATTTCCTACATTTGTTATGGCGGAGTAATGATACTTGAAAATTAGATGTTATTTTGAGTTGGCGGCAACTAATATTTAGTTGGAATGTGGAATTTGAGTTGAATATTTATAATGAATGATATATTTTATTCATTTATTTGGAATGGTTATGATAAAATATTCAGTTTCTTAAGTGCCAAGAAGAATAAATAGTGAAGCCTTCACTATATATGACAATGATAAAAGTGTTTTCATAATCCCATTCTCATACACATCTCTAGAAGCAAATTATATAAATTGTAAAATTATAGATGGGAATGATTCACTAAGAAGTCTGCTTATCAATGTTAAAGATATGTTTTGACTTGGGTCTTGAATTATTAAAGAACTATTAAAAATAAAAAACATATGTTCTCAACGTATTGATACATTGAAGTAGTGTTGGAGACCTATACAAACGTTTTAGTATCAACCATACACTATGGAAATGGCTCATTTGCAAAAGCTTTTGTTCTTCATAGGTCACATAGATTTGAGTCTTCCAATAGAAAATGGGAAGAAACAACTGTGTTTATTGTTATTAATTATTTTTTTCAAAGATTTGACACATTTCCAGTGTGTTTAGTTGAGTGTTAGCATGTCAAACTTGAACTAAAACAGTTCCAGTTAGAGGTATTGGCCAGTGCTTAGAACTGCTGCTGCTGATGATGATACCACCACTATTAATAATAGTTCATTATATTGAATGCCTGGGCTGGCATCATATTATTGTTTTATTTATTATTATTATTATTTTTTAAGTGGCAACATGTATCTTAGTAATTCTGCATCTTAATTATTCGAATATGTTGAGAAAATTTGGCATTCATTTTTTCCTGCTCGGTCTTTCCAATTAATGTTGGAACAAAACTAAAATTTTGAAATGGTTTTGTAGGATGTGATTGATAGAGATTTGTGTGAGCAGTTCCTAACATTGCCGCTGGATTTGCAATGAAAAATTGTAGATGAATTGGACATAACTCCAACAGAGATTTTGAAGAAACTTGAAGAAGTTCGAAAAAAGACCATTTGAGAATTATTAGTCCTAAGGTACATTAATCCTCTACTAACCAACTTAGACATGTCTTTTTAGCATGGATATGTATTTATATATTGTGAACGTAATTTTTATGTTTATGTTATACTACACAGAAAACTGGTGGTAATAGTTTACAATCGGTCATGCATTTGTTTTTTCTTGATATGTCTTTCTTGTTATGTGGTTTTTTTTTTTTTTTTTTTTTTTTTTTTTTTATATCTATAATAGCTATCAAATCTGTTCTATAGAAAATTGCACCAGGGTGGACACAACGTGAATGGAACAAGGTGCATCTTTTGGAGTATGGGTCTGAGTACTCGACATGCTAGAAGAAGCCAATAAAAATGAATAAGAAAAAATAAATGATAGGAAGTTGAATGAGAAGGGACATAACAGAGAACATAATACCATTATATAGATGTTGTAGCATTATATAGATGTTGAAGGAATTGTAGAATTAGAGATGGGAATGATTCACTAAAACTTACTAAAAAAGTTTCATATGTAGAAATCAAAAATAGAAAAAAGCATTTCTAAGAAAAATGGGAAGGTAGAGAAAAGGTCAATAATTATGTCAAACCATTGTAAGATAAAAATGTAACCAAAATGTGACCAATAGATGAGGTTAATTGGAGTATATATGACTTTAGAAGAACAATATTTCTGGAAGCTAGTTAATTGGAAAAATAACCATTTGCAGTTTAATTTTGTTAGGGTGGAAGAAAGATAATAATTGTACTATAATCTTTATTGATATATATATATATATATATATATATATATATATATATATATATATATAATTTTCTTTACATCCTTAGCGGGGAAAAAAAAAAAAATTGCATTATGAAGGGCATCTAGAGCACATCCAAACCTTGCCCTTCTTTAGAGAAGACAAAGGAAGAACGCTAGTAGGGAGGGAGTGAGCGATACACAACAGTGAAAGGATTGCTAGTTGTCTTGGATTACTACCTCGGTTCAACATGTGACTGCTCCATCTTTTCTTGCTTTCCGTACCTTCCTCAAATAACATGCCGTTAAGAAAGCAGCTTGCTCTTTCTACGTGCCAACCTCAATACAAGCTGCCGCCACTCCGTGGTCTCATCTATAAGTATGATGGGAAGCTGAGATTATGAGGGTAGAGCGAAAATACAATAAGCTTAGCTTGGCAACAACGGCATTAAGCAACTCTCTGAAACTAGGTGGAGCTGCAGTTGTCTTTGCCCCCATCCTGAAATTTTCCTTTGGGAGAATATAAATGGAAATTCCACAATCTTGAGGCCAATTTTGTTAGTTGAATTGAATCTTTCGTGTTAATTTTTGTACTAAAAATTCCAACTCTTTTCTGTAAAATCAATTTCTTTTGCAGGTAAATTCATGCCTGTGATAAAGAAGGCAATGGTAGAGCTTGAAGGTAAAGATCCTTTTATTGCAATCACACACTTATGTTTAGTGGAATTGATTATCTATTGTCGTGTCACTGGATGAAACGAAATTTTATGGTGTAATGCATTAATAATTAATTGCAATTGGCATGAACCCTGACTTACATAAATCTGAACCAACCAAAATGTAATAATTTTTTTTCCTAAATGTAATAATTAATTGTAATTGAATTGATTTCTCAGCTACATTCTTTTGTTTTTGATTTTCTCAGTCATGTAATATCAAATTACCATTACACAGATAAAGAACATAGCAATGAAGCAGTTGAATTTCAGTCACAGCACACACTCAGCAGGCTTTTTAAACTGAAAACCTTATTTAGTGAGGTTTATGAGGTCAAAACAAGAACAAACCAATTTTCTGGTTTATAATCAACTTCAACAGCTTCAAATCATCAATACAATCATGCTCAGATGATGTACAAGCATAGTACAGCAAGATTATATCATGATAAACTCAGTTCCAACAGTATAAACCAGAAAAACAAGTTAAATTGAGGGTTTGAGATATGAGATTCTATACCAGCTTTGATATGTGTTCCCAAATGACTTCAGCTGATATAAACCACCAAGATACACTTGCTCACCCCTTGTTCTAGTTTAAGAAATAGCCACAACAAATTTTCACCTTCTCAGTCTCATTTTTCACCATAAAATCAGCTTTACAGCCCCTTATAGTCTTCATTAGATTAGCACCTTTGTATGTTGATTCCAGAGCTCAAACACAGCACAACTCTTCAAAGAATCACTTTGAAATCATCCTGAACTATTAGCTTTCAAGGACCTTTTCATTTTCAGCTCATGAGGTTCATTTTTGGCTCTCAAAAAGTGCACACTCTCAGCTCTAAAGCTTATTTTCAGGTTCTCTCTTGTACAACCTTCTGCTGCTGCTATAACAGCATATATATATCAAGAAATTGCTGCCCTAGTGTGGATGAGTATTCTCCATCACTGGCCAATTGTAGATACTAATATAATCTGACATTGTATACACTGAATAGACCAAACAACCCCAGTGCAGCCCTAGCTTGTATCACACAAACCACCTTTTCTGCAGCCTACATTGTCATTGTACAATGCTGATACATATACAATTAAGACCTTCATTTTTCTGTTATTATCCTATCACTCTAGGACCACTGTTCATGTGGCTCAATGTAGGGGGTCCTTTATTGCACAATGAAAATACTAGGAAATACTAGAATTGCCCTTAACAAGGATATATATTGCTGCAATGGCTGTGATGTATATATATACCTGATAATAACCTCTGTGGTGTATTGCAGCATATAATAAGAGTATAACACATACACACTCATGAGTATAATGACTGAAATGCCCCTGAATTGCCCTTGTGATACCAATATAGATAGAATAACCATGAACCCTTTTGGTTAACATTTGACATTAAAAAGGCAAACCTCACTTAGAACCAACAAATACAAGACATTTTCCAATCCTTACATCCCGAATTCTCAGAAAAGGGGGCTCCAATGCATCCATTGAGAATGATGAACTCGGACTGTTGCTTGAAACCCCATCCGATCGCTCCAGTAGCCTTTGTATCTCCTTCTCTGCCTCAATGAGCTGTTCCTTGAGCTTTAGTACCTGTTTAAATATCAAGTCTTATGTTAATTAATTACGAGATTAATGAGTTTAAAAACTTAGGAGCTAGGAATTATAATATGGGATCATGAAATGCCATGTGCTGCTCCACCCAGCTACCTTAAAGAACTATGTACGGACTCTTGTGAATTGATGAAACATGTAGAACTGTTTTGCTTTCTTGTGCCTTGGGAGACACTTGTGTTCTTATCAACTTTTCTTTTCTCTTGTTAATTAGTCAATTTTTATAGCAATATTAGCTACCTTAAACAAATATTACTCCATAAAAAATAAAATAAATAAATAAATTATGGTAAGGTCTAGGGAGTGGAGTGCAGGAGGTTTCTTTTATGTACGAATATAAATAATTTTTCTATAGGTTTCTTTGATGATATCTTGGTCAGCGACTGTCCTTTGTATCGAGCAAGCCTAAATGGAAATTTTTATTTTCGTGATGCTAACACAAGCTTAGTTGTATGGCCTAAGAAATATGTGAAAATTATTCAGGTCAATTAGTCATTCATTAACTTATTATTATATTTCTTAAATTAGTCGTACGATCTGATTTTTTATGTATTTGTTGGCATTACATTTTTGAAATATTTTTTCCTGACAGGATTGATTATCACCAATTCATTAGGAGTAGAAGAATCAGAATTTCTATGGTTCCAGTTTACAACAAAGGTCAAATACTAAGCTTCTTTTATGATTGCACAATTTTAATGCTTTTTAGACTCATACTTAGGGGGGTCACGTGCCTTTAAGTGACCAATTTTGCGGTGTATCTTGAACTTTATTACATTATTGGTACATCGGCCCGTGTGGAGGCCATTTTTATTTCTTGTTTTAAAATGTTGAAAGCATGGGAGTATGAGATCATCGTATGTGGAGGTTTTGATTGATTGTTGTGGAGGAGAAGTTGTTGATATGTTGTTTATAAAATGAAACAAGATTTTGAAAAGAAATTCTGTCCGTCCCTAATTGTTGGGTGCCAAAAGAGCTTTAGGGACAATAAAATATGACTGTGACTAAAAAACTCGACTTTTAAGGACAGTATTTACCGTCCCAAATAATATCGTCCCTAATAAATTTTAGGGACGGTAGAAATTGTCCCTAATACTCTATATATTAAGGACAGTTTTTATGAACGTCCCTGATGCATATAATTTTGAGGACAGCATGTACCGTCCCTAATACACTAATTTTATTTATTTATTTTTTTATATTATTTTTTGGACCACATGCACCATGTTCTTTCTTTGGTATCAACATCATCACCATGTTCTCTTTTTAAAAACTTCCAAAAAAAAAAAAGAAAAAAAAAGAAAAAATTCATCATATACAAAACAATAAAATAAGCTTTAAACCAAATCTAACAATAGCCATCAAAACAAAAATAAATCCACCACATCGGTCTCTGGAAAAGTAGAAAGTGATATAAGTATATACATGTATGTGTGTAGAGAGAGAAAGAGGGGCCTTCATGGAAAAGTAGAAAGAACTCACAATTGTTGGAGATGATAATCAGAAACCTGAAGCCGAAGAAGGTCGAATGGTCGATGTGGTCGAAGAAGAACTCACCACCGATGAATGCAGGGAATAATTATAAGAAGTATATCTAATTCTTGAGAATCAATCCTAGGAGAATAATTTCAAACATTCAATATATTAAAAATATAAGATATGTTGTGTCTATACAAGAACAAACTAGTTAGCTAGGATGAGGAGACGATCACAGCTATAGTAGGGGAGTAGTGTCTAATATAAAATGTTTGAAAAAAGTTAAAATAAGGTGCATTACATTGTAACATTTATTGAGTTCTCCGTTTTTTTTTCCAATTATTTATATATTTTTTTTGGGTACAACTTCTGAGAGGACCTGATCCTATGACAAAGACTATAACTCGGCGGGGCAAACCCAAAGCCCAATCCAAAAAAATTGGGGTTTTGGCAGTGTTATTTGGAATTTGGTCTAGGCTTGGATTCATCCATGTTTAGCAACCCAAAATCCAACCCGAACCTGTCATGAATTAGCTAACATTTTTTTTTTCAAGGTAGAAGTGTAGATGAGTTAGAAAGTTAAGCTAGATTCTATTATTTTCCTACATTAATGCATATTCCTACATACATGGTTGAGGGTGGTGAATATATTTTTTACCTTCATTTGCTTTGTGATTTGTGGTCAAAAGATCAAGTTGGAAGTTCTCCACCTGGTTTATGAACTCTCTAGATTCTGTCATGTGACAGAATCTAATCCATTGGAAATTTTTCAACCTTGTTTTGAGATTTTTGAAAGGTTTTAAAGTGCAACTGGTTGAAATTAATCGGTTGCACATGTCATGTTGTAGAGACATTATTTTTGGATATATTTTATATTCTTTTTCAAATAAAATTAGTTGAGGTGTTCAATAGAATTTTGACAATACTTTTTTACTTTGACTTGAACGACGAGAGAGTATTAAATATCTAGGGACCGGGGTTATTCCAACCCATAAATGTTAGTTTGCAATAATTCAATGAATATAGAATGTTAACACGAATTTTTAATGGCCTGTTGCGTGAATTATATATGGATTAATTGTTATAGCCTTTTTTCCTATCTAAACCCAGTTAACCACACACCCTTAGCATTAATATCAGATACAACGAAAACTAGACAAATCTTTCAAATTAAATGCAGTCCTTGTCATTTATCCCCTGATCTTGTTGCAGTTGGAGTGTATGAAGAAATCATAAAATTAACATCAGCACAGTATATAAACATTTTAGCATAAATTCGTGCATGAGAGTTCCTGAATCAATACGAATCATTAAAAAAGAAAAAAAGAAAAAGTCATAGACATTATCTATCAATTAAATACAGAGGTTCTTGCTAATCCAATATCCAAAGCAGAGAGTATTTATGAATTTTATGTTTTAATCCTATAAAAAAACACAGCAAAAAAGCAAATATACAGATCTGAGAAGCACCGGAAAAAAAATTTAAATATATAAAAATGTTTGTGTTTGATTCATAAATGATAATCTTGTTATTTCCTTTTTTTATTAGCATTCTGAATTTGAGACTTGTGTGATGCAGTTACTTTCTTGGATTTTGTACCGTGGATTTTGCAGCTACTTCCTTGGATTTTGTATAGTGAGGTGGTTTTTTGACAAGTGTAGACTGAAACTCAAGTGCTAGAAGGTTTGTCAATATTTCAACAGAAGTGTTAAGAAATTGATGATTTTCTTGACAAATGGATGTACTTTCTGTTTTGGAACATTGATAAATGATGAATTGTAAAAATGTTTTAACTCTTTTGATATATTTAATGGGATAAGTATATTTTTTGAATTGAATTGAATTGAATTATAGCTGAAAATGATGTGAATTATAGGTAGTGGATGATTAACTGGAATTAATTAAGGGTGCATTATTTATAAAAAATATATATATATATATTTTATTTACGGGGAGCTTGAAATACCATAAATAAGTGAAAATTCTCCTTAAATAACTTTTCTACGGCATACATGGCAAGTCGTGAGAATGGTTTATATTATTTACAGATATCTAAAATTTGTCGTAGAAAAGTTTTCTACGGCATAGTTCAATGCCTCGTGAGATTATTTACGGGTAGTTAAAATTCGTCTTAGAAAACTTTTTTACGGCATGCTTCTGTACCTTGTCAGATTATTTACGTGTATTTACAATTTGCCGTAGAAAAATTTTTTACGGCATCCGTCGGTACCTCGTGAGATTATTTACGGGTAGTTACTCTTCGCCGTAAAAAACTTTTCTACGGCAGGCGATGGTGTCTCGTGAATTTTCTACGGGTAGTTACAATTCACCGTAGAAACCTTTTCTACGGCATGCCACGGCACCTCGTAGGTTAATTAAATATAATTTAATATATATAAACGAAATTATTTTCTACGGCGAATCTATTGTTTTTCTACGAGGTAAATTTTTTCTCGTAAAAAAAATTAAGTATTTAAGGAACCCTCATACACGAGTGCCTAGAATGCGCTGTGAATAGGTTTCCACGACGTTTTTCGCCCCTCGTAGAAGCCCTTTTTTCTTGTAGTGATAATTAATATAACATAAGAATTCTTTCATAACATGTAAAACAAGCATCTCTATTCATCACTTAATAAATTTTGAATTTTTTTATAACAAATATATTATATTATTATTGTTGGAAAAGTTACATTTTAATATTTTTAAAATTCAAAATTTGTAAGAAATGTGTTATACAGTATCTGAAAAGTATTGGATACGTAGTTGGTATAATGTCCCAAATCCCATGATGGGGTGCATGAATATTAGTAAGCAAGCGTGTGAAAACTTACATAAAATGTACAAATGGGTGGAAACATACCTCTAATCAAATTGGCTCCTTAGCCTCATGAAACGAAAACCATGGCATTGACATTTTGAACAAGATTTATATATATAACCTTGTAAATTGTTTTAAGCGCACCTATATATGTATATAATTATATATGTGTAAATGCATATGCATACGTGGGTCAATAACTATCCTGAGAGACTCATCTTAATGACTATCTCAACATTTCTCCACCTGCATTTCAATTGTTCATAACAAAATGAAATGACTATGCTCCATTTTTAAAATAGAAGCATGAAAGGGACTCACATTTTAAGTTTCCAGCTCTTTCCCGTCTTCACTCCGTCTCCTTCTTTTCATCCTCTCTTTTCTTGAGGAAATTTTTTTCATCTGTCCTATTCTCTTCTGCCAAACTGCCCCTACTTTTGACTGACTTTTAGTTTTAATTTAATCTTCTTTTGCTTGACTTTGATTTTTCAAAGTTGGAGCCAGAAATATTCACACTAGAAGCAAAATAAAATAAATCCATAAGCTTCTTTATTTCAATCCCACTTTCAATTTTTTCCTCTTTTTCTTTCCTCCTACACCGAACATTACTTTTGACTTCTAATTTTAAGTCGTCCTCTTTAGATTTTTCAGAGGACTACTTTAATTGCAGCCATCTTCAAATTAATCGAACTCGCTATCTCTAAGCCATATCCAAATGCCCACAAGCATGAATTTACATACGATGTTAAGAGCACAAAAAAATTAGTAGTACAGTTGGGATTATGGTTGTTGAAGTTGCTCTGTTTTCTGGGGCTTATTGTGCCCAAGAAACAGAAAACAAACACTGCTCCCCTTCTTCTTGCGGAGACACTCGTAACATTAGCTACCCTTTTCACTTGAAAGGCCATCCTCGTAGCTGCGGAGACGGTTGTAATACCCTCATATTTTAAAAGATTTATTAAATGGAATTAATTACTTTTATTTTATTTTTAAATAATTTATTTAATTTGAATTAATTGCGTATATTTTAATTTTTAATTGATTTGTTTTATTGAGTGCTTAGATTAATTGTTTTATTTTATTTATATTTCGTGAATTATTGATATGATGATTGTTGGGTGTGTGCTTAATTATTAATTGAATTGTTGACGTGTTGATTTTATTGGTATGGTGTGACTTGGTTGTAATTTATTATTATTTTTATGTGCTTAGTGTAATTAGTTTTTTAATTTAAGTGTTTATTTAATTATTTGGTTTATTTAAATTAATTGGACTTGAGCTTAAGGGAAGTTGGACCAAAAGATATGGTCTTGGGCTTGTATGAAGCCTTATTGGGTTAATTAATAAAGGTCCATGGTTATTTAATTATTTAAATGATCATTTTTGTATTAATTATAAATATATATAATTATATATAAATATAATTAATTAATAATTATTATAGAAAGATATATATATATATATATATATATATATATAGATATATATATATATATAGGTATATATGTTTTAATTGACCAATGGGTTAATTATGGAAGGTATATATATATATATATATATATATATATGTTTATAGATATAAATTATTTAAAGATTATTATTTTAATTCATAGTCCTAGTTGGAATATGATTTAGATTTTAATGTGTATAAATATACACATGAAGCTTTAGGATTAAAAGTTTACACGTTAGAAAAATAAAGGAGGCAGAGAGAAAGAAGAAGAAGAAAGGTTGTCAAGGAGGAGACCAGATCTGAGAAGAAGGATGTTTGGATTGGAAGAGACAATCAAAGTTTGAAGCGTCGGTTTCATTTTGAAACCTTCAGACGAGTTCTTTCTCTAACTTTCCTCTTAAAACTCATAAGAATTTCACCTTGAGTATCAATGCTTAGATTAAATTTATTAATTAAATCATGGTTTGAACAGATTAATCAAAATAATTAAGTTAATTTTATTTGATTAAATTAATATTTAAATCGGAGTATTAAAAGCATGTTTTATTGTTATTTTATTTTATTTTTTTTTGGAATTGTTGGATTTTAATTATATATATATAGGTTGTATTTATTTAAAATCAATTGGTATGCTTGAGCTATGACCCAAGAGGGTTAATTAGGGTTTATAGAATTTTTAGTATTTTTCTAGAATTTTCTGAAATTTTTTGGATGTTTCTATAATTTTCTGATTTTAGAATATTATATATATATATATATATGTGTGTGTGTGTGTATATAAATATTATATTGGAGAATCAGTAGGGTGTAATCCAATGTGGTATAGTGCAAGGAATAATGGTGTCACGCTAATCTGGGCTATTAAAGTGTTTTGATGTAAGTGGAGTGATCCAGTGCATCGCGGCGTATGATATTATGGTGCGCTTGTGAATTTGAACCATGGATTAGGTGTAGTCAACTTAGAAACAATCTAGTGCGGCACGAACCATCAGAGTTGATATAGCAGTGAATCATAGTGCGACACGTGTCGTTCTTAATCCGGTGCGGTTGCGCTCATAGTGGTATTTATGCTCAGCCTATTATTTTGCCTGTTTATGACATAAAATTGAAACGGTTATAACTCAGTCATCTTAAGTCAAAATTAGGTCATTCTTGAGCTCAAATTTAAGGATTTTTCGTCCTCTTCCAATGGTACTAATTTCATTATCCGATTCCTATCATACTAGGACAAATTTACGTTTTAGTGAGACGGTGTCGGAAAATTATTTACGGAGATGGAGTATTTATGGGAAACTATATCTGACGATATTTAGTGGCATTTAAATTGCGTAAATATAATTCAATTAATATATTGTTATGGAAGGAAGTACATATGTATATATATATATATGTATATATGGTTTAATTATTTAGGATAAGTCTGGAAGGATGTGTATATATATATATATATATATATATATATATATATATATATATATTGATATATATGTATATATATAAATTAAATAATCAAAGATTATTAGGAATTGTATTATACATATTTATATATTATATAATATATGTGTATATATATAAATATCATTTAAGATGATTAATATTAAATATTCTTATTTAGTATATCTGGATAGGCTGGGTATTAAAGTAATGTTATACTTATAAAATATATGAGATGTTTATGTGTGATTTAGCTCATTGTTAAATTTAAAGTTGAAACATGGTTGAATTGTAGGTATGGATGAGTTGCCAAAGGCTTAAATATATGGCCTAAATATTTGTATGAATAAAACACATACATAGGAAGCATGGATAAGTTACTAATTAAAAGTATAAATATATATACTTAAGGAGGCATGGTTGAGTTGCCAATATATTAATAAATATATTTATAATACAATGGTTGATTTGTCAAATCGTAATTAAATTACTGTGTTAGATGATTAAAATATCATCTATGGTTAGTGTATGTATAGTTGAATTAGGATTAGATATTCTTAAATTAGAATAATCTAGTATTTACAGGTTTGTATATTATTTTATATATATTAATAAAATAATATTGGTAGAGACATGGATTATTTGTCAAAGCCTATTTATTGGCTGTATGATTTAACTAATTAAAATTATTATTAGGTATTGGATTAAATGGAATATTTCTTTAAATATAGTTTATTATTTAAATGATTAATTAACTGTCTAGGATAAGATTGATGTTAATGAACTTTTCTTTAAAAGAAATGGTGGATTGGTCTAGGTATGATTATTATTTAATCATTGATAATAGTTTTGGGATTAATTAACCTATTAATAAATGTGACTGTATTATTTATATATAATTATTTATATATATGTGTATCATTATTTATTAAAGATAAAAACTTTACTAGGTTTGGTTTTGATCAGAGATGATCTGCTTATTGGTTTTCAGAGGTCTGGTAGAGAGAACTTGCTCGTAGGGTTTAACCCGCGATTTATTTTTCAGGTTATTAGAGTTCCAGTCTTGAGGTTGAGGATCTGCAGCTGGGAGACTGTCATTCATCTATTCATCTTGTGTACTTTTAAGTAGTATT